TTTATCATCCTTTTTCGAACCCGAAGAATGGGTCGACTTATACCGATACATTATATTATCTTACTTACAAAGAACATTATTGTTAGTTTGTAACATAAATTTGTAAAGCATTTTAAACAGGTAAATAGAAGAATTGTTCCCATTGCAACGGTAATATTTTTCATGCTTGTTTTTGAAACACAATACCAATAAAATATGTATACTTTTCCTTCGAAGGATGCCAAAACTATAGCTGTTACAATTACGCACTTATACTACTTATACCTTGTAGACGATTTGTTGAAATTACTTCTAAATATTGAATTATAAGGAAAATACTTAGTAAGTATCGTATTGTCTAACAAAAACGATTCAAACTACAGCGACACTAAAAAAATTGATAATTAGTGCATTCTGGTTCAAGTAATTTAGGTTTATTTTAAACACAAATATAAACCTAAGAGCCATGCCACACGGGCGTTTCGTTTATCGCAACAACGCTATGATTTCAACGCATCGAGTGACACACGACGGATGCGTTGTCGCTACGTAACGCCGCTTAACAGAGAGATGCCACAGGCGTTTCGTCGGCGTTGCTACATATAATAATAATAATAATCTTTATTTCTTTCTTACAACGTTATCCTATAAATAAGTAATTTACATTATGGACTTATTATTAATACATTTTTGTAAGAGACTGGAGTCCATGCTAGGATTTGACCTGTGTTACGGATCTCCAGGCACTCACCAACCGGACCGGATATAGAACAGAACGACATGCCACACGGTGCGTGAAATAGCGCGCGTCGATGGAATATCTCGTGTTGCACTCAATCCGTTGAAATAATATCGTTGTTACGACGCAACGCACCGGCAACGCCCGTGTAGCATCACCCTAAGGAGTCACGCAAACGTGTATTGTGTGTTTTTTTTTTAACACAAAATACAAGCAACCGGCAAATAGAATCGAATATTCTATTTTCATACAATTATACCTACGTAATCGACACAGTCTCGTCTGTTGTACACAGTCGCCGATTGCGGCAACCACAATTGTATGAAAATAGAATATTGTCTTCTAGTTGCCGGTTGCTTGTGTCCAACACAAGACACACGTGTGCGCGGCGCCTACTTTCTCACCGCGGCACTCATCCCCGCTTCGTCTCCTTGCCCGATGCGGACGCGTTCCATCGTAGCGAGCTGGTTCAACGCACCGTGTGTCATATTGTTCTGATTTGCATGTAATACAACGTAGCGTCACCGCTCAGCCCTCATACCGCAGACGCAACGCATTTAGCGGCATCTCTCAAGTCGAGTGGCGAGCACCAGCCCGTTTATACTGTACCATACCACGTCAGAATTGTCAATTTTTAATAACATAAATAAACACAGTCCTTCGCAATATGGTTAAAAGTATATTTCACACATTCCATGCAATACGTTGTCTTTTATTTGGTTTCTAGGAATAAAACTTTACCAAGTACAAAACTTTCCTGGACACTTACTTCTGATGACTCCTGACACAATTATATATTTTATAATAATAAATTCATAAGAATAAGTACCACTTACTTTTGAGTTGAAACTGAAACGATAAACTTTTGACATTATCATCGGTTATCTAAAACGAGTTGCCCAGAAAATTATAAATATAATTTTTTTATTTCATAATTTGTAAAATATGTCGCATACAGGATGTGTAACGGCTAGGCGATACACAGAGGAAGTATTTTAAATATTGTAGATAGAATCGAGTCTACTCATTTTCATTCTGCGATTCTTATAAGTCTCCCTTTCGAACGGCAAAAATACATGCTTTTTTTACATTTGGTCGGTTCGACTCCCATGAGGCAAGCAACTTTTTAAAAGCCTTTTAATTTTTGAAAAGGCTTAAAAATAAAGAAGCAAAAATGCTATCTACAAAAAGTACTTTCCCTTTGTGGCGCATAACCGTGGGACACCATGTATATGGAGGTGACGTCGTAACGCAAAGTTCTAAATTGATTTAGAAATACAATAACTCTATTGTCATAGACATGAACAATGTATGTCAATAATAAATTGCGACAGTGTGACGCAAGCCTACATTACCGAATTAATAAATACATAATTATTTTGTTGATCGTCGTTGCGTGGAAAAATTACTAACACGAATTTTGTTTACGTATTAAAATAATGGAATATAATTGAACCATTTATTTCATGTCAATATCACCCTATCACAATTTAAAAAATAATGCCAAGGGACCATCACTAATATAAACAATAATATTTAATAATAAACAAAAAAATAAATTCAAAATATATTCTCAAAATACAACGATGCGATGAAAACAAATTCCCTGCACTGTGGAATTAATTACCTAATAAAATTATCACCTAGTTTCTAGTTTCACCATATTGTTTCATTACCATGATATTCAATTATTTTTTGTGAAATTACTCCACTAATTTATTATAATTATTAATACAAAGATGGATCACATAGACAATCAGCTGCCGGTACTTGGCGGGGTGGAGAAATAGATTTCTCATAGATGGCGCAACGGCAAAAAAGTCCTTAAAAAATCCGTAAGGACTACTGGTTCGTTCCGTGGCTTAGTTGGCATAGCGTCTGGCATGGTTTGCTAGAAGACGTTGATTTGTATCCAGCCGGATCGAAGGAATTTTTTCTAAGTATCTTTGTATTAATAATTATATTTCAGTCATGTGAAAAAAATTTGTTGCTTGTAACATTTTTTAAATTTGTTTGCAGTAGTTTTCCCGCGTTTTCTAATTCAAATTCAAATTATTTATTTTTCTCAGATAACAGGATCCATTGGTGTTAGTAAAAATAAAGAAAAATTACTAAAAAACTAATGCTCAACTTCCATTTTTATACAAAACTTGAAAGCGTTCAAGTTTTGGCGCGCGTACCGATTATTTCTTAAATATAATACGTCGTCGTCGGCCCCACCTGGTATATTTTAACAAGGTGCAATCTTTTTTATGAAATACCAGGAACTGGCCTTTTTCCAAAAGGGTGGGTACGTTTTATGCTATTTTGAGGTATTCTATGTTATGTTTGTATGTTTAGTTAATTAATACAAATTTGCAAGCATATTTTGTTAAGTCTTTTTTGTTCACATTTGGCCTTGCAATTTGTCTCTAAAGGCTTTGCCTTTTCTAATTTTAAAACCTAATGCTTATACTTAAACTAAAACTCACAAAAGTCCGGAACTCGACAACTTATTTAAAATTAAATCTTAAATACCTTGTCGAATTATGGACCTCGATTTATGTTATACAGAAATAATATTAGGTACATAAATATACGACACCATTTGGCTCAATGGAGGACAAAAGGGTCAGATCACATTTCGTCGCCTTACTTTCTCAAACTCGTATCTCATAGCACAAAGTTACTGAAATGCGGATTGTATAATAAAAATTTTGCAGGCTGATTAGACATCACATTTCCTTCATATTCACACACTGGTTTTTACCTATTCCTCTATAATAAATATAAAGTAATGCATCCAAATTACCACCTTAAGAAATTTAAAATAAGTAGTAATGATCACTCTTTTTTTTTTTTTTTTTATTGTGACTCGGCAAAATGACTGCACCGCGCCTGATGGAAAGTGCGAATACAGTCCAGAGATGAGAGTAACGGATGGAAAACACAAATATCTTCACTCCGTCACTATCATTTTGCCGGTCTGGCCAAATGCTCCTTCACACTACGTTTGAAGGACCCGATGTTATAGAGGGGAGGGAATACATGCGCCGGGAGTTGGTTCCACAATTTGATGGTTCGGCATAAGAACGAATTGCCAAACTTTTTAGTGCGGGACGGTATTGAACTGACCGTCCAACTGTGGCAACGCAGTCCGGCACGGGTGGTCCGCTGATGGAAAGGAGAGGAAGGGATAAGGTTGAATAACTATAATAACTCTTTATAAGATACGAGTTTGAGAAAGTAAGGTATCGATTTGTAAGTAGCGTCAGCGTGTTTTATGTGAGGTATAGTTTGATATTGCTATACGACACGCTCAATATTGGGGCGATGCTGATGGTTCACTTGTCAGGCAAAAGTGAATAATCACATCCAATTCAATCACACATCACATCAGCGCCATTGATTTACACCTAGGTATAGTCTGTCTTTTTTGAGGATAGAGTAAAATTTTTATAAAATTTTGAACATTCATGTAGGACAGTGTTATCGACAAATTGTGAAGGAAGTTAAAATTTTGCAAAAAAAATATCTGAATTTTGAATGTGCGTTATTGCCTTCTTTACTCTTATGTTGACAATATCGAAATCAATTTTTGTTCATATAAACTGTAATAAGAACAGGTGGATTTGATTACCTATATCGCATTAAAATGAAAAACTTCAAAATATGTCCCTTGTTTGTGTTTTAAATAGACTTTTTTTATGATATCAAGTGACGGGACGAACAACTCGTGTGCCTGGTGGTAAGCGACAGCGCCACTCAGAGCTTTAAATCGCAAAGATCTGAGGGGCACTGCCACTCCGCCCGTCACCCTGAGACGTAAGTTGACAAGTCTCATGTGCCTGTAAATTCACCAGCATCCTTACCCTTCAAGATCGGGACACGGTAATGTTGACAATACTGCTTGGCGGCAGAAATGGGTAAAGTGGCAGTACTTACCTGGATGAACTCTTTCACAGGGGGCTCTACTGCTACAAAACATGGTTCTAATGCAGTGTATGTACGAACTTACAAAAATTGAAAGTTCAAATGAATCCGTGGTCAGCAGTCGGACGAATAATAGGCTGATGATGAATGAAATGAAACAAGTTCGGGTATTTATTGTAGTTATAAGCGTGGCCAACATTCAGTCGATAGTGGATAGAATATTTATCGACTGCAACCACTAGCTGCTTGCAAGCGGGCCACACTTTTGCACTATGAACTGTCATTTTACTCCATCTTCAAAAAAGACAGACTGCAGTCATAAAGTGTATTTTTTTCTACTAAAAAGTACTCGCGAGAATTCCGCGAATGTAAACTAAGACTTTAAGAAACTATTTTTTTCTTTCTTTCGTTAAGTAGCTACGCCATCTAGTCTAGCGATGGGCGAGTCGAGTTATTTAACTCGAGTTACTCCCACAACAAGTCAATTCGAGCTACGTTTTTATGAACTCGAGCTAGATCGGCTCGGTACTCGTCTCGCGCCGAGTCGAATACTTCATTCATACAGCGCATCGGCTAGTCGTTCTGACTCGGTCACTTCGGCGACCCTCAGAGCACGCTCGAGTCACGATCGGCCGGCCGTTCGTGCTCAACTCAGTGCATCGTCGGTTCGAGTTCATATGAATATACGCCGCATCACTCTCGCTACTTGCGACTCGTCATTGCTATGTCAGACACTAAGTCGAGTCAACTTGAGTTGCAACTCGAGTCAGCAATTACGTCAACTCGAGTTAACTCGGTTGAAAAAAATACAACTCGCCCCATCGCTACGCCATGCGCCGGTCACGAGATGTATTCTCTATTTGGCAACCTACACGCCTTAAATTGTATAACATTTTCTTCAAAAGAATTTAGTTTGAAATTTTATTAAAAAGAAATCTGAGCGATCTCCTGTTGGAAAACGAGTCTCACAGAATCCGCCATTTATATTAATTAATACTTAGGCAAGCCAGGCGCGGACGCCGCTGATAGCAACGAATCATCTGGAGCTGCTTCCCGATTAGACAAGGTCCTAATGCTCGCTCGGCGTTTTTCCTTGATTGCATGCACTAGGAAGAATGTGCAGAAAATTCCCGAGCTCTGTTGACAAAGAAAATAACGTTAGTTGCGACTTTTTACTCTACTACATACTAAGTGTAAATTTGCAGTTTAAAAAGTAATTTCTCTTGTAACTTTGTTGTGTGGTGAAGTGTACGTGAGTATTGTTGAAAACTGTACATATTTTTATCGTAACTTCAGGCTATCGTTGAGAATAGTTGAGATGATCGACTTTTTTATGTTTTTTAAAGTAAACCAATTTATTTTTATCAGTGGCAAGTGGAAGAATATATATTCATTCATAACAATAGGTCCACTAAACGCTATTCGCAGAGGGGAATGATATGTCTGTAAATTATTTATACGAAAACCACCACATCGTGATAAATCATATCTCTCCCCTTGCGTTGGAATGTAGACGATAGGGACAGTGATCCCCTCTATTATTATAATACCTAGGTATAAAAATAAGTAAGTACATATACGACGACTCTAATTACAGTATATATCTTCAATATCTTTTATAATACTTATATTATTGGATTAAAACCCAAAATTATGAGGAGACTGAGCAACTTCTTCTTATCCTCAAATAAAACATCTCTCATTTAACTGTTCCCAAGTCGTAGTTGTCTCGCATTAACACATTCGCACACTATACATTCCACACACCCCTTACGTACAATTCTTACACTCCTAATCAGTAACACATTCACCTTATAAACACTCCCTCACTCATTCTCACACTTTTCATATTGTGAGTTTACTTAGTGTTAATCCTTGAGAGGGTTCTTTTAAATAATAAGTTTAGTTCACTAGTACCTTTATTATTCTAAATCAGGATTATTCCACTAACTTTTATATATTTTATTCTTTGTCACAACCTCTGTGCCACAACCAAATTGCTCAACTGCAGAGTGGAAGCCTGGTGACCCGTAACTCAGGTTTTTCTATACCTATCTCGGGCACCAGTCTCTCACAAAACAGTCTGACCAATTTTTAGTCTTGTATTTTAACCTTAAGTTCCTTACTCTTAAGCCTGTTTTGTGATTGAGAAATAAATAAAACTTCATTCATTCATTCATTCATTCATTCATTCATTCATTATGAAAGATGTGATTTTTGAGATATCAAGTTAACGGGGCGAATAAGTCTGTCACTCAGAGCTTTAAATCGCACAGACCGAAGAGCACTAGGCTGCCACTGCTGAATAAAAAATAGGCAACCTTATTGTGAGGGATATCTGGTCAAAGTATTTTTAGTTTAAACGTGATGCTTTTTTTATAATATCAAAAGACGAAACAAACAAGTCGTGCGCCTGGTGGTAATCGACAAGCCTACGTATAACAGTTGCATTCCCTGAAGATAAACAAGACTCACGTGATTGTAATTTCACCAGCACCTTCCAAAACTGGAGCGCAGTAATGCTCACATTGCTGGGCTGCAGAAATAGGTATGGCCGCAATACTTCCCTGGACTAACTTTTTCACAAGGACCTCTATGCTGCCGCCGTTATGCGCAGACCATACCGCGAACAAAGCTAACTTAGCTCACGTAGCCGGGGCATCTTGCCATACTTCGGTTCACACCGCGAACTAAGCTAACCGAGCTAACTAAAGTAACCCAACGATCCCGCTAGCTATGTAAAATATGTCGCCCTTCACCCGCACATATCCATAGTCAATAATTACTACTTATTTTCTTAGATTAGTTTTGCATGCAACTACGTGAGCTAAGTTTGCTAGCATCATTCGCGGTGTGGCCTGCGCTTTAGTCGAAAGGGCGCATGTGACTTTTTTTAAATTTTGTTATCTGCCGTGATCAGTAAAACGAGGCCGATCTGTCACTATTTTTATTTTTTCCTAAGGCATGAAGTTACCGTAAGAGTAAAGTAGATGTTTTTTAATTTAATTTCTTTAAACATTTTCGGTTTCGAGTTTATGTCACAAGTGCCCTTTCAACTAACGGCGCCAGTATTGGTATCTACTTAATTTAACATATGTAGATATTGTGCTTAGAATAATAACGCATAGAATGATATTTTCATATCAAACGAACTGTCACAAGTGAGGCAAAAATCGAATTCATGTAGGCTAGTTTTAGTAGTAGGTTAATTTTCGGTTTTTGTGAATATTTATATAAAAATACAAGTTGAAACGCGTTACTTCCTTGTGGAATGTGATGTTAGTATCTATTTTATGTTTGTCTGACGTAAGTATTTTTACACTCATTTACCGCACATTTCGTCATTTTTCGCTAAAATTCTTGATCTGTTCGCGGTGCAAGTTGACCTTGAGCACCAAAGGCCCGCCCGCTCGGGTAGGCCCTTTTGGCGCGCTTCAATTTGCCTCACTTAGCGTGTGGGGACTAGGTTTCTATGCGTTATTATTCTAAGGTATTGTGTATAAATTAAAAAAAAAACTTATAGTCATGAGAATACTTGCCGCTTTCATAGTGTAAAAGATCAGACTCGATTGATACGCAGAATCCACATTGAACTTTTAATCTACAAGTAATATTCCCTTATTCCTAATTTTATTTAGTAAGTAAATCTTTTAGCAACAGCCTGACCAGACGTTTATATCCTGAGTGCACCCGTGCTCTCTTCCTCATGCTCAGCAATTAAAATTCTTTAGCTTATCAAGGCGTGTCGGTGTCAACTGACGTTCAAGTAGGTTCAAGCGTTATTTATTTTAGAAATTCCTAACAGGAAGTGTTCATTCACCTTTAGAAGAGGTCTTTTAACTAATTGTATTTAATGAAAGTGACTCTGTGGGACAAATTGCAGAACAGAGTGAGGGCGCGTTCCCATTATGTCGTGACGACAAAATAATCATGCAGTTTAAAGTGTCGTGTCTTGTATATTTAAATGAAGGTGTTCACAAATAGGACAACACGATTAACTGTCGTTCACACGAGAGTCGTCAGACGATAAATAAAATGTCACGATAAAAATTTGACGACAGATATCGCACCTGCAAACATTACTGTCGTGCAAACGACAAGTAGATAGTCGTAATATTGGAACAGGCTAGACGCGACTGTCGTCCAACGATAAATAAAACGTTAGGACATAATGGGAACGCGCTCTGTCAGGAGAGCATTGCGGCGTGGACGAAGATGTAGTGACAATGTCAGAGAAAAGACGACTGAAAGTACATTGAAGTAACAGTCGGTGAGTGCAAGCGGGCTAGTTGGTAGCAGACTATCGCAACACGACCAAATCGAGGACGTCTTAAAGACAGCTTTCTTTCTCCAAGTCAAAAGTATGCACCCTTAAACAACGAACGTGTATAAAAACATTGATGCGCGTTCGTGAGGCGAAAGATATGTATTGGGGTCGTAGCAAATGGTAGACTGAAATTCGTAGCAGTAAAGTTCCTTGTGAAAGAGTTCGTTTTGGGAAGTACTGCCAGCAAACCCACTTCTATCGGCAAGCAGTAGTGTGAGCATTGCTGCGTTCCGGTTTTGAAGGGTTAAGGGTGCTGGTGTTATTATAGGCACATGGGACTTGTCAACTTATGTCTCAGGGTGACGCGCAGTGGCCACTTAGATTGCCCCTCCAATCTTTGCGATTAAAAGCTCTAAGTGCTATACTGCAACAGGCGCATGACTTGTTAATCCCGTTACTAGTATCATAAAAAAAATTAGTATCTGCCTACCCTAGAGAAAAGAGCGTGAAGTATCTGTATGTAATTGAAGTAAGAGAGACCGGGGCTGGTAGTTCCCGGGGTAAGTTGTTCTCACAGCAATAACTTTGCAAGGAAAATATGTAGCAATACATGTGAAGCGCGTCGTTAAAGCGTCAGGTGATGCGTCTTGCCGGCAGCCGTCTCAGTAACTCCGGCGACGACGTGTGGCTATGTGTGTGGCTACGTGCGAGGAGCTGTCAAAATATCGTGTACTAAGTAAATTTTTTGGTCTTTGTTTATTATGGGCCGATTCATACGTAAATTTTCTAAATTGTAGTGACATTAGTAAGGAATCTTATTGTTTGAGTATTTTTTTGATTGATTCTATTACTTTGCCGGTATGTCAGTGTTCGCATAAAAACGTAATTTGGGGCTATAAGTTCCTCTCTCGAGGGGCTGGTTGTTCCTAGGAACAACTTTCCCAATTGACCTGCAATCATACTTAAAATTTTAAGGATGCCAAACTACAAAACGGGCTCATGTCAAATATTTAGACAAGATGATAGAGTCACTTATGTGTGTCTCAACTGTGATTCAGATGAAGAAATGAGTGATGAATAATATTACTGATATTTTTTTTAAGTTAGTTGTGCATAATATAAACATTACATACGTACAATTATCAAATGGGTGGCTTTATTTACGAAAATCTTTGTTATTCTGTCATAATCTAGGCGGAACAATTTGCCTCAAAGGCGGAACAACGCGCCTCAAGGCGGGGCTGAATGTTCCGCTCCGAAATTTGTAAAAAATTTGCCTCTACCAAAAAGACTATTGAGACATTAGTAGAAGTGACTAACTATTACAAAAAGCGATAAACAGTTGTTCAACATTTACACGTGTTGAAAATCAAATCCTTTATTTTCAGTATATAACTGCAAGTCTTTTGAAAATCGGAACGTTCAGCCCCGCTCTCCCCAACCATATTTGGGCGGTGGACAGTATCTCAGTGAAAACTGTATGTTGGATACGGTCTACATAACTTGCGGAAGTTAAGTGAAATCACCATGAACAATGGCCTAAACCATAGTTTCTCAAAGTGGTCCCCCAGTAAAGGGGGACGGAAGGGAACCTGGTGAAGAGTCCTAGGGTACGGACCTCGGAAGTTGTGTTGATGCTGTCCAGTGGGTGCTACTAAACAAAAATCGGTACGTCTGCATATAAAGGAACATAGATTATGTTAATGTATAGACAGGTTGGCGACTTTGCTATCGCAGTAAAGCTTTGATCAGATACACGAGACAGTAAGTAAACAGGATACATATATAACGCAGTAGCTTCGTCAGCTAAAAACTATAAGCAACTTCCATGACGTCATTATGTTCTGCAAACGAGATCACGCAACCCAAG